GCAGCTTTCGATTCTTTGGCGTTGCACATCGCGCCAAATATGACTCGGTAAACTAACTTTTTTTTTTTACAAATGGTACACTGAGAAAAATGGTCGATTAAATATAATTGGATAATCCAGTTACATAATAACAAACGGGTATATTCAAATTGTATATCCGATGAAAAATAAGATCGGTTTGTCAATCAAATTTTATCGGTAACTGCATTTCATCAGATAAATTTCATCGGATGTATCCATAATATAATCGAAAAGCGTAATGGGAAAAATTAACCATCGGAAACACTATTTAATCGGGTTTATCCGATGGAAATTTTTCTCATTGTAAACGTCGCGTCAATTTCTAGTGCAATCCGAACGCGATGCGTGCACGGCGCGGTCGCGTTTTCCTCACAAACGATAACGCCGGCGCAGTCGGCGCAGTACGATTGCATTTATCGGTCACAGGGACTTCACATGCGTGCCGAGTGAATCACAACGTGTCTTGATTATAACCGCGATCGCGACACCGAGTCGTTTTCTCCAATTCTTCCGATCGCGCCAAGGTCCGTCGGCGCGCAGAAAAATCGCTCTCGGACGCAGATCGAACCGGGCGCGACGCGAGGCGCAATCGCAATTCGAGTTATCGTCGAGCGCATAAATTTCTGGCGTCAACACGGTGGCGTGAGCGAGAGACCGCGGGCATGCATTGTCTAGCGCTTTTACGACCGCGAAGTAGCGCTTATCGTTCGGCGTATCGTTCGTACCGAGCGTCTTATCTTCGCGCGCACTCCTCACATTATTCATGTACCGACAATAAGCGATACACAGCGCGTGTGTTGCATCGAACGTTTCTCTCCGCCCGTCCATTTCCTCCTCCGAGTCATTTGCGACCCGGCGACGGTCGCGGCGCGCCACGAGCGCAGCTCGTACGACTGCAATTTCGACCACGCGACATTTGCCCCTCGAATCTCCTCGGACATGACTCTCGTATTCGCGATTTACATCTCGCATTCTCGTTCTCGCCGAGATTGCTACGGCACCGTTCGCAATCGACGTTATCACGAGCCGTTAATCGCGGAAAATTTTTTAATATCTGCAGCCGAATTCCGGACGACTGGGAATGTGTCAGTCTTCGCGATATTTCTATTTATTTCTTTGTTGTTTTTTTTTGTTTTTTTCCTTTATTCGAGCGCGCAAACCGGAGCCCGTCGAAATGCGCACGTGACCACGTTCGTATTTCGACACGCAATTGTTACGGGCAAATATTTGGCATTGCCTATTCGCACGCGAGAAGCTCACTTCCCGCATCCCGAAACGTATATTTCCCCCGCCCCCCCGTTTCTTTTTTTTCGTCTCGCCTCCCTTGCTTGCTTGCCCGCCGGGCGATTTCCCCCAATTTATTTTTGTCGCGAGCGCGGGCTGGTTGCACGCGGAAAAAAATGCGCGCCGCGCACGAATACGTTGATGAATCTCTCTCTCTCCCTCTCTTTCTATCTATGCATCTATTTCTATCTATCTAGCTATCTCTGTCTTTCTCGGTGGCGTCGGTGGATGGCGAATTGCCTCGTTGACCCGCGGAAACAAAATTGCAATATCGCGAGAAGGAAATCGGTCGAGGCACCGACCCGTTATTTTTCATATTTGCAGAGAGGGTCGGGGCGACGGGGAGAGAAACGAGAGCGAAGAAATAACTAATGCGGGACGATATCGGGGCTGCAGCTCCGAATCTAAATTGGCCGGCCGAAGCTCCGTTATTGGAGATACTAAACATTCCCGGTTCGAGGAAGGGCCCTTAATGGTCGTAACTGCCGACCCTGCGGGTAGGATCGGCCCAGGATCGCGAGAAAAGTGGAAACACCGCGCCGCGATGTATACGGGCGTAGGAAGACGTGAGCGGAAGCGCGATAAGGCGGCAGCCGCGTGACGTATACAATCGCGGCGATGGGCAAAGCGCGCGCTGCCGCGCCGAGGTCGCGCCGCGATCGCACGTGTCGGTTTGCTTCTCAACCCCGCAAATTGCGCGGTAAAATTTCACGGATGCGCATGTGGGCGCACGACTCGCGCCGTGACGACGAAATTACCCGGAGATTCCCGGCCGAGGAGGAAAGAGAAACGTCGCGTACCCGCTCGGTAGTCGGGTTTCCCACGATGAACGTGAGATCTCGCATTTACCTTGTGCTAGAACAGATTAAACTGAGTCGAAAAGTCCTGTACCATTTTGCACTGTTCGCAATAGTTTACGAGTTATTAATTATTAAAAGTCCCTGTCTTAGCCCGGCCTATCGCCCAATTCAAGCGCGCGGCGGGATGCGGCCGTCCCGCGTTTGGCGTTGCTAGGCGCGCGCTTGAATTGGGCGATAGGCCGGGCTAAGACAGGGACTTTTAATAATTAATAACTCGTTAACTATTGCGAACAGTGCAAAATGGTAGAGGACTTTTCGACTTGGCCTAGTTCTCTCTATCCGCAAATAAGAGGTGAGACGGGTATTACATAACACCCTGTATATCCACATATTTAGTTGCTGATAATGGACTGTCTTATATGTACTATGTGTTACTTGCTCGAGATCTAGCTGAGAGGTGAAGACGGACGGTGGTACAGACAGCGAAACGACCTGCTGACCGATCGTAACCGACACAAATATCATTCGTTTACCAAAGTCAAGCAAACGTGAAAGCACCGTTACATATATTCGAACTAATTACGTGAGTAAAATAAACCGGTGTCAAATGAGATGTAACAGGACCTGAATCTGAATCTAAACGCGCGTTCTTAAACTCATTACAAAAACGTGCCGCGACCATTCTGTCCATCACCCGACGTGTCTCGACGATACGTAATCCGCGAGAGAGGCGTCGCTTTCGCGTCATTGTCCCCGGCTCGCGGCGCGAACAACGAAAAGGTCCCGGCGGGCGAAACGGCGTACGCCCGGAGGTGAATTCGCGCGCCCGGATCCGAGGTGCGAGTCTACGCTCGCACGAAGCGGCGAAACGATTTACAATCGCTCCCGCGCGCCGCGGCGAGAGCGAGCGTGTCGCGCCGCGGTGCCGTGCAACGGCGGCACGGCATCCCCTCGTTATCGCGGACAGACAAAACGTCTCTCGAGAAAGGGACTCGTTTCTCCGGCCGCGGCGGCGTTGAATGCACGTCGGTGAACGTCGGCGCGCGCGCACCTCGCGCAACCTCGCTCTTGGTTCATCGCGGAAGTCCCGATATGCATCTTCTTCCTGTAATTTTCCTCTCTCGCGCTCGCGAGCGAGTTGCGCTTTGATTCGCGCTACCTGCGCGCCGGCGGCGGAAGTCAGAAATTAAAAGGATACTGATGTGATTCTGCATATTTCGCATCTAGAATTGTCAATTCATGCACATTTGTGTAATATCCTACAAATTATGCTGTGTATTATTTTGTGTACAGACCGACGGTGTTCCACTAATCGGACTAGATCAGAGAACAGCATGGCATCGTTGAAATTAAGTTTAGAAGCCTAACAAAAAATCTATTCACACGAATAAGTTGTAGGTTAGGTAACCCAGTGAATAGATTTTTTGTTAGGCTTCTAAACTTAATTTCAACGATGCCATGCTGTTCCCTGATCTAGTCCGATTAGTGGAACACTGTCGGTTTGTACACAAAAGCCACGTAATTTGTATATCGCACAAGTGTTTTCATGAATTGACAATTCTAGGTGCAAAGGGTGCAAAAAGTGCAGAATCACTCCAGCATCCCCTTGAAGAACTCGACGGTGTCGTGTGGCCGATTCCGTAAAGCTTCTTCTACGATGGACGCAAGGCGGTAAACCGCAACGCAAGAAATCGACCAATCGCCAGTCAAATACGAGAAGAATGATCGACTGTCATTAGCCGATTTCTTGCATTGCAGCTTCGGGCCTAAGCAGAATGGCTGTCTTGTTCTCTTTAGGCAATGTTTTATGTTTTAAACCTTTGCCTTAAAGTAACGCACAATAACTGTCTCGTGACTTAAGAGGACAGCCATTCTGCTCAGGCCCTTAGCGTCTTGCGTTTTGCCGCCATTGTAGAACAAGCTTAACGCAGTTCTCGCGCCGTCTCGTCGTAGCTAAGAGCTTTCGAACTTGATCTTTCGCCATCCGTTGTTCTTCACGTCTAGAGTTCCCTTTCTCGACGTATCTCTGTAGATACATCGAAATATTCGTGGCACTCCACGCTATGAAGCGCCGAAGCCTTAAAATTTGTAATTTTCCATCGTGCATATTCGCGTAAAGTACATTCGTCCCTCGATTTACGCGGAGTATTTGTTCTACATTATTTTTTTTAACCGCGGAAATAGAGTCTGCATGGTAAAAGAAATAATAAAAGAGAAAATATACCGTATACCGTACTGTACTAACAAGGTTCTGCGTCTCCTGCTCGATTCTAGTTTCATTTTCCGTATAAACGGGAGAATTTTTACCGCATAAAGAGGAAAGCCGTATGAAAAGTATTGCATCGCGTATATTAAAAAATTTTGTACGTCGCGTTAAAGTGTTAAGTATCGAGCGATCTCTTTCGCGAGGTCGTATCTCGATTTTTTTCGCAATTTCCGGTTTTTCCGCTCAAACGCTTATTCCGCACCAGAATTAATGTCTAAGCAGAAAAACCGGAAATTGCGAAAGAATCGAGATACGACCTCGCGCAAAATATCAGTCGATATGTACATCGAAGGGAGGGGGGGGGGGGAAAAAAAGGTAAAAATGGGATGTCAAGGTGCGGAAAGAGAAGAAGCAAGACGGACGGACGGAAGCAAATAATCGTATTTCGGGGGAAAATCCGCTCGGGGAGCAACGCGAGGGAGCGCGCGTAATCTGAACAGCCGGGCGTAGTAAAAAAATCTGAGATAACGGCGTGCGAGGTGGCGAGACCGAGAGGCGGCAGCGAGCGAAGCGGCCGGCGCTCGCCGACGCGACCGCGCCGCCGTACTCCGGAGCAGTCCGGCGTTTCGGAGCTCCGCTCCGCGTCCTTGCCAGCGCTGCCCCCACTCGGTGCCGAGGCCCGCGAGGAGTGGGGCGGCCTCGCGTCCCCACCGCGCGGACGCGCCTCGCCACCCTCTCCTCCGTGCCGCGCGCTATGTAAGAGCCCGCACATGTTACCCCGCGTTCCAGTCTCGCAGCGGCACTCGCGAGCGTTGTTTCGCACATCGGTAGCGCGCGCGCGGTACGGCACGGATCGCCTGGCGGGCAGGAGGGGGCGATAAAACGCTCTTTCTCTCTCTTTCGCTCTGTACCACCTCTCGCGGAGCGCGCGGTAACACAGAGGGAGAGAGACACCCACGTAACTGCGGAGACACTCTGCGCGCACAGGTACCGAGGAGCGGGGAGGGCCCCGGTGTATGTGCGTGCGTGTATGCATTGTGTGCGTGTGTGTACGTCACGTGTACGCGTGCGCGCGCGACGAGTTCCCTTTTCAGTGCCTCGCGGAGAGCCGTCGCGACCTCGTCGTCGAGTCCGCCACGTATACGCCGAAGGCCGGAGGAGCAGTTAATCGGGCGGAGTGATAGGAGCGAAGAGGAGGAGAGGAGCGCGCAGTCCGCCGCCGCCGCCGTCGTAGTAGTTTCCGTGCCCACTCAGCGTCCCGGCATCGCGGCACTCTTCCCTTTTCCACCTCGTTTCACCCTCTTTTCCTCCCCCCCTTCTTTTTTTTACTTTTGTACGCACGAACCGCCACGCAACTCGGCGCCCCCGCGACGCGTAGTGGAATCACTCGAGTGGGAGGCACTTGCCCGCGCGCCGTCGACTGACCCGAGTGTGTTTGAGAGAGAGTGCGGAAAGAGGAGCAAGTTCCGTTCTCCCGCGGCCGACTCTCGCGGTGTGGATAAATCGCGCGAGACGGAGGGACCGAAGGGAGCGCAACCTCGACGCCCTCGGGATAGCGGAGAAACGAGCGAGCGAGAGACACACACGTGAGTATCCCGGCGAGATATTCCGAGGCGCGCGCGCGGTCGTTTCGTAAGCCTCGGCCTTCCGTGGCCTCCTCGCGCGGGATGATCTTGACACGCGCGCACGTGGGTGCGACGGGACGACGTAACGCGGCGGTGCACGCGCCGCATACCGCGCGTTGCGTAACCGCGCATTCCTTTTTTTTTTCCCCCCCGCGAACGACGCAATCGGGGGAAGGGATGCCGCGAAAGTCGCGGAGCAAAGTCGAGCAGTGCGCCGTTGAGCATTTGTTATCTTCGCCGGTTAACGTACAGTCCGGCTCGCCGATGGACCCAGAGGCAAAGAGCGATCTCCTACGGTTTTCCGCGGTCCCTCGCGTCTTGTCTCCCCGCTCGCGCGATTTTCCGACTCGCGCCACGCGAAACGGATATTCGCGCGCCGCTCGGTACCTCGACAAGCGCTTATCTGCCGCTTGTCACCCAATGCGAATGCGATAAGCTCGCGGCCGAACCACAGGCTTACGTAAAATTACGACCGCATTAATTGCGCAGAAAGCTGGCCGGGTGACATTTCTCGCCCCGCGGGCTCATCCTATTGCGGAGCTCGGGGCTCGCCTGCTGGCTCTTAAGGTCGTTCTACATTGACCGTATCGTAGCGTCGCAAGCGTCGCAAATCATAGATTCGGCCAATCAGCGTTGACTTATAACTAGTCTACGACCCTTGCGACGCTAAGATGCGACTAATGTAGAACGACCTTTAAGGAAACGTTGCAAGCTGATTGGCCACCCGCGTGGTTTTCGGAGCAGCGTTTTCGCATACGTTTCTTTTTCGAGTGAATTGAAGAATCGAGGCACCTGGCTCCAACCAGAAGTTTCTGGAGCGTCTCGGAAAAATTAGCCGACAGTCCGACTAGAATGGCGTAACCACGCGTCATCGACAAACCGTCGGTCAATTGTCATCGTGCGTCCTCAGTCGGCGACCGGCGCGGCGCGGCACGGCGCGGCGCGTGTGGGGGTACGAAATTGTTTCGCAGTTTCGCGACATCGATCCGCGAAAGGTGGAAAGTAACGAGGAGAAGGCGCGCTTGCTGTTAGATTCGCGGCCGTCGTCGGTCCGAATAATCGCTCGCGACGAGCGCGGACTGTGGCTCTCACGCGCGCGCGCGCTGCGTGACGCCGCGTGTGGTGCGCGCGTGCACGCGGTTGCGTGCTGTTACGTGACGAGCGAGCCGCGCGCGGCTCCGGGTTCCGTGCCACGCCGACGACGATGTGTAGGTACACGTATATCCGTGACGTAATACGCCACGCCGTCGCCGGCTGCTCGATTTTACTCCGTTCCGCGGCCGCAATTATGTAGCGCGAGAACAGGTGACGACAGTCGCGCGGCCTTGATACCATATCGCGTGGCTTCACGAAAAGCACAAAACGCGGGTGGGCGTACGGGAATCCTTCCCGCTGAGTGTCTCTAAAGCCAACGGCACGCGATAGGGCGAAGCCTTGCTATTTCTACTATTTCCCTTAAGGCCAGTTTCACAAATATCGGCTGACTGCTAGCCGAAGGTTAAGTGATTCCCCCGTCTCTTCTTAAATAATAAGACGGAAAAGGATAGGGAGTCGACTGAACTCTGGTTAACCGACGTTTGTGAAACTGGCCCTTGTTCAGATAAAATTAAGTATGTGAGCGAGAAGGATTTCGAGCGTGGACCTGGATAGTTGGAAGAGCCATTCGCCCGGCAAGCGCAAGACCCCAGGGGCTCGATTCTTGAGTTTATTCGAAGGAGAAACGTAGGCGAAAATTCTGCTCTTACAGAAAGGTTGCAAGTTGATTGGCTACTCGCATGGCTTTAACCAATAGGCTTTCAACTTTTCTGTCAGAGCAGAGTTTTCGTATACGTTTCTTCTTCGAATGAATTCAAGAATCGGGCCCCAGGTTCGAATCCTGGTCTAGTCGTTCGACGAGAAAAATAACAAGTGACGCATCTTAGTGCCTACACCCACAGAAAGAATTCCACACTAAGAAAAATTTTCATCGGATAAACCAATTAAATAGTATATCCGATGGTTAATTTTTCCGATTACGTTTTCCGATTAAATTATGGATATATCCGATGAAACTTATCCGATGAAATGCAATTACCGATGAAATTTGATTGAAAAACCGATCAAATTTTTCATCGGATATACAATTTAATCGGACATATCCGTTTGTTATCATGTAATTGGATTATCCGATTATATTTAATCGGACATTTTTCTCAGTGCACTGACCAAAGTCTTGTACACTAATGCCCAGTGGGCATTATTTTATCTTTGTAATGCCCAAACTAACGCCCAAAAAATGTTTAGTAATGCCTAGTACACACAGAAAAATATTGTTGTGCAGGCAAGAAAAGTAATTACTCAGAATATTTTCTTAATAATAGTTTTAAGATATACTTGTTACTAGTCTTAGAAAAGCTTGCCATCTTATACTAAAAAAAAGAATTTATTCTTCTTTGAAAAAAATTATAAAACTTATTGAAGAATTCCGTATGCTTCTTTTAATAAAATCAGAAGAAACAAAATTGTTTTGCTTTAAATAATTCTATGTATTCTTGTTTGAAGTACTAGACTTACTAAGAACCAGAATATTATATGTTTTGAGTAAGTATGACACTTGCGACGACGTAATGATAGATTTGCGGATATATAAACTTAACAAATACTTGGAACAAATAATATTTACTTGCAGGTAGTATCTATTTTTCTGTGTGTAATACTCATTGTCAGTAATGCTGCAAATCTGTACACCACAATGCCCTCAGCGGTTTCCCCCTCGGCTATTACACTTGTATGTATCATAAAATAGGATCGATATAGCGCCAATCATATTTATTATAGAGAAAGGTATATTTTAATAAAGTGAAAAATTGTAAAATCTAAAATACAATGATAGCACGTATCGTCTTTTGTCGAATTTCGTGGTGCCAACTTCGTGCGTTGTAAGATGGAGGGAAAATTTATTCCAAACGCACGAATATATAAACTTACATTTATATAAGTTACTCTTGTCTCAATATAGTACGCCAGTCTATTCTACTTCGATAGAGGAGAATAAGAATTATTGATTTTACTTCTATACCTATATCTCTCATTTCTATACTAAATGAGATTGTGAGAAATATAAATGCGCGGTTAAGAATATTTTTGTCTCGGTAACAAAAATCTTTTCTGAGGGTGTACGTCCCTGAAGATAGGTCCCTATTTATTACCGTGGACTTAACCGATAAGGTGACCAAGTTCCGATCAGAGGCTCGATCGCGAATCTTGTCTTCTAGCGTGAATCCGCGAAAAGTGAAAAACTTCATTGAAGAATTTCGCTGTTCGTCAAGGAAAGTTTTTCACCTTTCACGAATTCACGCTAGAGGAAAAGATTCATGATTGAGCTCCAGATAACAAATGCGGACCGACAATTTGGTGAGTCGCTAATAAGCGACATTTCAAAGTAATTCACTTCAACTTTCCTCTTTAATATATCTACAGCTTAGCGCTATATTGTCGATATCATGGAAGGCAGAGACGTGTTTTTGCGTCGCCTATTAGCGACTCATCGAATTGTTGATACGCGTTTGGCGATGGGGAAACCGCTGAGGGCATTATGGTGTACAGATTTGCGGCAATACCTGGGCATTACTAAGCATTTTTGGGCATTAGTTTGGGCATTGGGCCTTGCTTGGGCGTTATAAAAATAAAATAAGATAAAATAAGAAAAAATAAGATAAATAAGATGAAGTCCATTGGGCATTGATGTACAAGATTTTGGTCAGCGGTTTCCTCCTCGGCGTTTGGTATCTGATCCGAATTTTGGTCACCTTACCCTACTATGTTTCCCTACTGGATTGCTTACGAGAGCCAATAAGGATGCAGAGTTTTCGACCAGGTGGCTCGAGGCTAAATTCTGATTGGCTCCCGTAAGCAATCCGGTAGGGAAAAATAGTGTCGTGCGCCGTTGGCTTGAAACGACTCGATCGCACGAGAACGCTCTAAATCCAAACGTGCTACTTTTGTACACACGGTGTATTTGGAAATACTTTTTACTTCTTGCCATTTAAAATGACATACGTCGAGTCACACGTCGCGATTTTCAAGGAGCGTGTAAAAAGTGCCTTTACAAAAAACTTACACGTATGTGCGTGTATAAAAACACACTTGGACCCGCCAAGTTTCGAGTGGTCTCGTGCATCACGCGGGGTCCTCGGGTTTCTCGAGTATCCGAAAACTTTTGACGAACTAATCGATCTCGAGAGCATTTTAATATTTGAAGCGTTCACAACGAGGATAAAGTGACCTGGATCTGCGAGATAGAGGGCAAACTAATAATAATAACGCCAAGTGTCCTAAAATAGACAATGTATTTTCAGTAACTTTCAAAACTTTCAGAATATATTATACGAGAGTCTCGGATTTTATAATATCTGATCAATGTTTCAAGATTTCCGTCCTACATTTCAGGCGATTCGATATAACTTGACCACGTCGCTATGTGTAACGCGTTCGGTGCGACAAAGTTCAAAGTGGATAAAGCTTGTTGCTACAATGGACGCAAGCTAAGCCGCGACGCAAGAATTCGGCCAATGACGGTCGATCATTCTTCTCACATTTGACTGTGATTGGTCGATTTCTTGCGTTGCTTAGCGTCTTGCGTCTTGCGTCCATTGTAGAATAACAACGTCAGTGTTTTCTTGACCATATCTGGCATTTTTAATAACAGAGAAAATTTATTGCGAAAAATATTACCTCAGCCAGGGGTTGAACCTGGACCTCCCTACACTCTAGGCAGGCGTCATTGTAGAATAAGTTTAAGCCACACTTTGCGTTTCCCAACTTAATTCCTGCCTTGCCGCGTACATCGCAAATTCTCGCGTAGACGAGCCGCGATCGGGCGAATTCCAATTCGCACTCCCGCGATTCAGCCGAGTCAGATAACGAAACTCGTTTCGCGTTCGTCCCGCGACGTAATCGAGTAAGACGTTAAATAAGCTTCC